AACATACAAATTAAATTTGTTTTTTTTTTTTTTTTGGTTTTTATCTTGATTATTCACTTCACGGATGCTTTTTCAGAACGTCCACGGCCATTTTAACATGCGCGTAGTTGAATTAAATATTTGTCAATATACAGTACTTTCGTTGACGTTTATAGTAAGATCAACTACGTTTCTGATGGATTTGCATATTTTTTCCCCTCACTGCATACAAAATACATGGAAAACTTTGAGCGCTTTGAGCGACCTCTAAATATTTAATGGTTTCAAAATAAAAAAATAAGGGTATATTTTTCGGTATAGAACAATCCTAGGGGGGAGAGCATTAAAATTTCGACTTTACCTTTTCACATCATTTTTGAACCACCCTAATTTACGTGCATACGTACATTAAGTTAAACATTCTATTAGTTTAATATATAGACGTGACTCTCAAGTGATTCACACACTTCAAACTTAGTAATTCTAAAAAAATTAATTGACAGAAGCTACGTGCCTTCAATTTCTATGCAATTAAACAACTTTGGAAGCATTTTGTGCTTGTCGTCTGCAAAGTTTGGTGAGCACACGCGTGGAACAAAATTTTTTTTATGCAGGCACACAAATGAATGTGGTCGCCGTAATTGCGATGTTTTCAAGTTACTAGTTACCAAACAATTAGTCTTACAGCCAATTTCACGAAAGTAATTTAACTGAAAAATTATTTATTTTTTTTGCATTTTATATGGAAATTTACAGAAAAAAAATAATATTGCATTTAAATTGCTGGTAAAACCGGCTATTAGTTTGTTATAAATTAATATTATCATCTTAATTTGTATTAACTTTACAAAAGAAGTACGCCACTTTCTCCATAAAATGGAAAATTTTCGTGGTAAAATGATTTTGTAAAGAACTTTAAATCAGTTCAGTTGTGTCATAAGGCATAAATCAACCACTTCTATATGCAGTTCAATCAATCAGGTAGTTCTTGAAATATGTATGTATGTATGTGATTTGTATCGGTTGAAAGCAGGTAATAAGTAATGGCTTTAGAACACACTTAGAACTTCGTCAATTTATCTGAATGCATACTATATTGTATGTATGTATGTAAAAATATTTCCAGAGACAGCCGGCTATACACATATCGTAACGTATTAAGTATGTGGGAACAGTTTATCACATGCCTGTTGTACTGAGCGCGCTATTCACAAACAAATATAGAGGTATTTACCCATAGCCTTACCTACCCGTATCTAAGTCGTCGTTATAGCACGCATGAAGAGTTGTCGATATATTACGAAAGTTTTCTGACAAATGACAATTTACTGTCAACTGGTTACAGTTATTGCGATAATTTATATCATTATTTGTATTGTTACGTAAATTGGTAATTGCATGAGGTAGTTAAAATTATCTTTTAGTAGGAAAGTAGGTGTTTTGAATCTTAATTGTTTATATTATGTTGTGAATTGGTATATGAAAATAGTTTGAAAATTAAATAAATATATTTGGAAACATGATAGATATATTTCGTCGCTCGAATAAAGAAACAGTGTAAATGCCACATACACTATTATTCGATAATTGCACCATTGGATAGACAATCCTTTAATCTGTTATAAAAATCTTTAGTTTCCTTAAATATCTCTTTGGCTCACAAATTTATTCCCGAAAAACGAAATTGTATTTGTATGGTTTGTAATGGTTTATAAAAACTTCCAATTCGTTTTTCTCAAAACTATACTTTTCATGTTACATTATTTCATTATTCCAGCGACGATTTAATTAAAAAAAAAAAACAATTGCTGCAAATTACAGATTTAAAACTGTGCCTTAAGACAAATACTCAGCATTCAAGTATTTAAATATTTACTTTTACCTAACGAAATACCGGGTGCAAAAGTAATTCATATTCTTGTGTTCTCTAATAGAGATGGCAGATCGAAATACACAAAATTGATCGTTGAATCGATTCGAATCGTCAAAAAATAAATTTATTTATTTTACTTAATTTTTACCAAGAACAAAACACTGTAATCTGACCACACTGAAATTACAAGTAATTTTTAAAACATACCTTATTCGTAACGGTTTCAATACTATTCATAGATCGAATCGCAACTAAATAATCTATACAAAATTGAATTGGTAGGGCTCTATTAATCGAATTAAAGCCGCCATGTGTATTCTCTAAAACTGAATAGAAAAGTACTGTGTATAAAAGTGATTCCGAGAAGTCCCGAAACCTCGCACAGTTCGAAAAAATAACGAATACCGGAAAATCGCCGAAAAATGCTAGATGCTCTAAAAAAATAGCCGCTAAATATCAAGATCTTTATTTTTATATCGTTGCATAATCGATTTTACGCTTTTATTTTTCCGAACACGAATAATCGTTAACTTTAGATTTTTAATTTTTCCGCATAACTTTGGATCACGTCAACCGATTTCGATAATTCTTTTTGCATCGGAAAGGTAGTGTTTCAGAGGTGGTCCCATAATAATCTGGTTAAGACCCGATCAGTGGATCATGAGATATATATATATATTTTTTTTTTTATATGAGAGTTGAAGTCGGTTTTTTTTTCTAAAAATTACTTGTTTTGTAATTTTATTTTTACGATAGTAAATAATCGATTTTTGGATTTGAAGTTTTTTTTTGATAATTTATGACCGATTTAAATATTGCATGATCTAAAAGCTTAAATCCGAAAATAAGGGTCTTAATATGACCACATAAAAATAAAAATAAAAAATGTATGAAAAAATAAAAAATGTATGAAAGAAGTCTGATGAGGAAATGTGGTGATTTCCGAAGTAGCTATCACTTCTACCATTTTTTCAAATTATTGTTGCTTTTCCACAATAAATTTTCATTAAAAAACGGCCTCGAGCTCAATAAAAATTGTTGAAAAAATCAAAATCTAAAAATAACGATTATCCTTAGCCGAAAATGTAAAAATCATCAACCATCTCGGAAAACCATGAAACACACCCAAGCGGTCCTGAAGAAACCCAAAAAATATATTTAAAAAAAATCGCGTACAATACCGAAGAAATCCTGAAGGGGTCGTGAAAAAGTGTTGCCCGTTGGTGTACTTTCTTCCTCGTTGCTGTAAGTGACAAAAAATTGCGTCTAGACCATTGGTTTTCAATCATGCTAAGGAATACAATCGCTCACCAATTAATCGGATGAATCAAATTGCAGTTGTGGTGGAGAAGTTGTCCATATTTAAATTTGTTTAAATAAATTCTTTTAGTTTATCTTTGGCCGATATTATGTATTCGCCTCTCCCTTGCAAACACTCCTTTGAGATGTTCAACTGACTAAAAATGTCTGAATATTGAATTCCGATCTCAATTCAATAACACATTTTCCTTGGACAACCACCTCACCTCTTTGTGATAAAGAAGATTTTAATGGGGCGCCCATGTCTTTACACCTCGTATGAAACCACCTTTTTTATAAAGCTACGGGGTCGCGGCTTCTAAAAGTTTGAAAACCACTGGTCTAGACAATAGGTCGCTCAGGTTGTTCAGGTGAAACCAAGTGCGCTTGTCCAGCACTTTAGCACCAACCAATGACCTCTAAACTATGTATGTAAATGCAAAAAGCACCGATCTGTCGTCATTTTTTCTACTACGTCATATTTTTTTTGCGTTTCCATCCCTCAATACGCACAGCTAATTTCATTTATTTTTTAAACAACTGGGTCGGACATGGCGTATGCGCAACATTCATGCAATACTAGCCGCATGACGCGTCATGACGTGACGTACTTGTCCAACGTACGGTGGCGAGAATGCAAATAGGGAAAAGCCATTTTAACACGTTTTGGCTACTTTTCTTTGTTTAAAAATTTTTTACTATTTTTTTAGGAAATTAAAAAAAGAAAGGTAAATCTAAATTTAAAACTTTACATTTTAACAAATGTTGATCACAATTTTAAACTTTTTAATCGGATTTTTTAGAATGGGGTTTTGTAGCCCATTAAGTTTATGATGTAGTGCAAGTCCAAATTAGCTAGGATTTACCATTGATTTTTGGCAATTTGTTTCTTCCATACATAATATGTTCGACAATTTTTTTGTATGGAGAAAATGACCAACACCTTCGACGAAAAAAAAATTGCGAAAAATCAACGGTAGGACCTAGCTGCTTAAAATATATATATAAAAAGCGCAAAATTTTGATGAAGCTTTGTCGAATTTTTATAATTTCAATACAAAGTTTGAAATTTTGACTTACATGTTTTTTTGATAAAAAAAAAAAAATAATAAACATTAAATAATAGAAAGGGAATGCTAAAATGTCTCTTCCCTATTTATATTTTCGCCACTGTATATAATGCACAGTTGTTTCCTTCTTTATTTATACTTGCCATGTGCTTATAAATCTTATTTTTACCGCTGCTTTTGACATGTCCAAAAAGTCAGCAGGTGTATTACGGTAAATGTTCATATGGAACATATATATTTATAAGTTATAAATATTAAATACCCGCATATTTATCAACTGCCTATTTTTAGTGACGTGTACCAGCTTTAGCTTAGTTTCACCTTCACAGTAATGTCCCTTGCCTACACAGTCCGCCTAATTGTTCATTAATATTATTATTGTTATAATAAGTACTCGTACAAACACAGCGTTTATAATCAACTCGCTTCACGCGTCACTTGAGCTTTATGTATTTAGGCAGCTTGCTAAATTTAGTACCTCCAGTTGTATTTATACGAAAATAGGTTTTATTAAACAAATAAATATTTACTTTGCTCCGCACCGGACTTGAAGAATTCAATCTCAACCCAACCATAAACTTTCAATGCTTAGGCGTACTGTTAACTCAATTTAATCAACTGGCATTTTTATGCGCCCAATCAAAGTATTCGCCTTCCATGCACCTATCACGTCATTCCTTTCACTCATTTCAATTAAATATTTTAAAATGTGTATACATACATACATATATGTATGTACTGTATTTACTGTTATATGCGTGCGCAAATATTCTTAACAACTATGACTCACTTCGTTCGGTCTTTGACATGCTCATCGAGCGTTCCGTTTTTCGCCAATGCCGGTACCACGTTTTCGATTGGAAGAACTGCAATAGACTGGAAGTGGTACTGCGGCCGCTGCCGTTGCTTTGCTGCAACTGTTGCTGTTGCTGCTGCTGCTGCTGCTGTAATTTGCTTGTTGTTGTGGTTGTCGTTTTTGCGGTCGATGTGGTTTTCGTATAGACGGTCATGGTCTCCATGCGTTTGGCCACACGTTCAATTTCGGATGACCGGCACGATGAGGTATCCTCTAGCGAGGAGCTACGTCGTTTAGCGCCACCACCCAAACACACACAGCTACGCAGCATTGTGTGTTGCGAGTGTGTGTGTGTGTGGTTGTGTGTGTACGGGTAGGCGGTGTGTAGGAGTGCGTGTGCGTATATTTTGTTTGCTTAGTTTTTAATTTTATTTATTTTCTTATCTGTTGATTGGGGAGGAGGAATGAAGATATTCTTTTTATTTGTTTTTTAATGGAAGACAACGTTTTCGTTGCTCGCGATTTTCTTTCAATTCACTTGTTTAGTAATTTTTTTGATTGGCTTTTTGGTCGCAACTTTTTTGGTTTCCCCAAGAAATACTTTACACCGCAATGTCAATCTTTAGTACTTTGAGTGACATATTGGGGTGGTGTGATGAGCGTTAAGCGCAAAGCTGAAGGGCAGGTTGTGCTTACCCAGCCTCGGCCATTTAAGCAGACGTAGACGTGCTGCCGCGTCACTTGTTCGCGGGATAATGCTTTTCACTTACATTTTTATTCAATTTGCTTATAAATTTCTTTTTAATAAATTTTACTTTCCCTTTTGTATGGAAACACTCTCTACCTCAGTAGGTTTTTCACTCCAATTGAACTCATTTCCGCATTTTGATTGCGCTGGTTAAATTTTTGTTATTTTCTTCTTTTGATTAAGTTTATTTTTTCAAATGCATTTATCTGATGCTTTCTAATTCGATGTACATTATAATAAGTGTATACAAACTTGCTTAGTGCAAAACAATGAGGAAATTTCAATTTTCGATTTCAACTACTTTGATATACTATACTTAGCAACAAAATAGTCAGATGCTTTGCAATATTTCGTTTCGGAAGGCACCCTAAAGTAGGTTTTACGATAAACGCATTTATGAAAAACAAAATACCTACCAAATAGACATGCAAAGGTGAAGGAATACTCGATGGAACCCTACCCAAAATCGTGGCGTGCGATGATGTGCGGTCTCGGGCGTTTATGTAATAAAGCGGCGGTTGACTGCCTGGGCTAAGGCTGTCCCGGAGAGAAACTGAGAGCTGTCGACTTCAGAAACATCTCGCTGAGGAGCGAAAATTATGGATATTATCAGGCGCTTCAAGTCAGATCTACCCGCCCGTAACTGGAGAGTATTAAATTTAGAGCCGAGCAACTGGGCCAATAGTTAAGCGGTGAACAATTAAATACAGTTTCCTTGCTGTAAAGGTCAGCAATATAGTAATGACCCTAATTCGTCGAAAAATTAGTTAGCTAAGGTCAAGCCAACCAACAGTATTGAGGAGGTAATAGACTTTGATCAGCTTACCTGGTGGACAATACGATAAATGAATATGACTCATTCCGATTCTTACATGGCCTATTTTTGCATTCCAACGCGACACAGAGGAAAGCCAACTATCAGGCGACGCGGTAAACTCCACAGTGATAAAGGAGGCAGGATGCGCATCTTACAAACCAACCAACATCACAGTTAAGCCGCTTAAAATGCATTGCTGCTCCATTCTAGCGGCAGATATCATCCGAATTCAAGAGCTCAGGCCAAACTAAATTTTATTTTTTGACTTGTTTATTAATACTGAGCTCGTAATAAGCAACAATTCATGATCCCGCTTTTATCATAAAATCTCAACGGAAGAAAAAATGGGGGAGGCGATCAAATTTGATCTTTGTCTGCTTATGGGCGCTTCATATAGGCAGCTAAATCAAGTTTGCCGAAGTAAGAAGCATACAGGCAGAAGAAACTGGTGAAATGGGCAAATCGAAGGTCTGAAAAATTTGTACAGGCCTCCGCTTCTGTAAACAGAACCTGTAGGACGTTAAGAGAGAGCCTAAAGAAAAGCAACGCTGATCGATCTAATTGGCTGAAGGAACAACTAGAACTAGAAAATTCGTACCGCGTACCATGCCACTGCAGTGCCTTCTGAGGCGAACTTCCGGCTATACGAGAAGCTGTCGAATGCTTAAGAGCTAAGGAAATCGCACTCTAAATTATTTTTCTCAAAAGCCAGTGCAAAATGGAAACACTTAGATACCTGCTAAACTACCCAATTCATGGGTATGGAATGGAACTTGAAAATAGTGCGAGACTCTTGTCAGGTCACATCATTTAAGGGAGGCGGAAAGATAGGCTGCCTCAAATTGTACTCTGCCGGAACTGCAAAAACTATAAAAAGCCTGAGTCCGAAATGCTTTTGCTCTGTCAATGTTCTGCACAATGAGGAGACTTAGGTTCTTGCCTGCTGGAACCATTAAGGACCTGCGCAATATATTTAGCGGGGATAAAGATTAGAAGATTAGAATCAAACTAACTATGACTTTGCTTTGAATACCCCTTTCACAATACCAAAATATTCTAAATTTAATGTGTCCTGAAAATAATGGTATTAAATTTTATGAGTTTTTAATTTTCAGTGTGTCGTTTTAGTTTTAAATATTTTTTATTTAATTGATTTATATTGCTTCAATAAAATTTAATTCATTTTAACTGTAAATAGGTATGTGCATATATTGTATTCTTTCTTGTGCATACGTGTATGTTATTTTTTTTAATTATCTCCATTCTGTTATCATTTAAGTCTGCCACATTTCATTTGACACAATTCGCGTCTTGTCATTCAATGGCGAACCATCACTTTGCATTTAGTAGTCGTTCGGTAATGCCAACAGGCCAACCGCAAATTTACGAACTCTCGTATTTTTTCACCTAATGTGCTTTGGACAAAAGCCATTGTTTTTAATCAACGCATCAGCAATCAATTGCATGCATCACATTATTTTTATATCGGAACTGCATAAACTTCTATAGAGCCGCATATGCATACATACATACATAAATACTATGTACTTACTTATGCATCACACATTTCACCGGTGTAAGCCCAATTAAAAAATTGCATTACCTATAAGCCGCATAATATTACAAAAGGTATATTTTATTAATAATTTTTTTTTTATATTTGACAGCAAATTTTATGGTTAAAATTTCGCATATTATGGTATTTAACTCTTCGGCATATCAACGTTAACATGAAAATCCACATTTTTTGATATCTGAAAAAAAAAATAAAAGGAAAACAATGTTATTTAGTCGTAGTATATATATGTATATACAAATATGAATAAAAATATACATATCGATGAAGAGTGTTATGCACTACAAAGAATATGATCTATAGGAATAAAATATATTAGGGTAATAACTCTTGCCCTGCTTATTTCTCCGAACCACTTTTTATGCCTTATTGACTACCTTTTTTGTTACTTATAAAAGCACATTTTCGTAAACAAAACGATTTCTTTACAAAAAATAACGAAAGCAGTTCGATTGCATTTCATTAACCCAAAAGAAATTTCAGTAGAATCCGAAGGAAGTAAAGATTTGGAACTCTATTCTCCTCTATAAAGCTTTTTTTCCACCTCCCAAGAAGAATTACAAGAAAAAGTTTTCTTTATTCCCATTGCTTTTAAAAGTACTTTGACGTTGCTTGAAATTTCCTGAAGAAATAAATGCATACATACATACATGCCATATGTATATGGTCATTTGTTTCTTGAGAACTGAAAACTGAATTAAAAAATTTTGAAAGAAGAAAATTTATCTTTAATTGCTTGAGCATTTTTATATGAATTGTTTGTTTTTCATCAGAGCTGCATACTATTCTCAGACCCATGATAAAAACATATAAGAGGCATTCCACACTATTTCAATTGGTCAAAAACTACTTTTGCTCGATTTTCGGATATGTTGCAAAGGAGGTCCTAAAGTATTTGTAAACGCAAAAAAACAACATTTTTTTCAAAAGTTGTACAACAACCAAAATATTAGGTGTCTCGCCGTAAGCCATTGTTTATCACATCATAACTCCATAAATATTGGTTGTATCTAAAAAATCAATTAGTACTTTTTATTGACATAGAGCCAGAGATTTATAAAAAAAATTAATTTTTCCTAGTCCAATTTTCCATACGTTTGTTAATGAACAATTTAGAAAGTTGCTCAAAAAACATGTTTTTAAAAATCTGCAAAAATGATATATGAGATATGCAAAGATTTAACTAACAAATTTTTAAAGGGTGTCTCAACATAGGGCCTGAGATATTAATTGTTTCGTAAAGCAGTGACTGATGGAAAAATTTTAGAAACAAAAATTAGTAGAAGTCCAGGTAATATTAGCTTTCCTATACTTTATTTTGCAATAATCCTCTTACTTTGCGAAAAATCGCGAATTTAATATTAACATTATCATTTCTTTGATTGGGCATATCTCCTGAACGGGCCAAGGTAACTTAATAATTTTAGTTTAAATAAAGCGGAAAACTCCATCTTTTTAGCACAAATTATTATTGTCAATAAAAAATTACTAATTGATTTTTTTCATACAACTAACATTTATCGAGCTATGATGTGATAAACCGTGGCTTTCGCCGAGACATCTATACTTTGGAAGTTGTATAACTTTTACCAATTTTATTTTCTTTTACATTCCTCGCGTTTTGCCATATCTTAGAGGTATTTCTACATTATACTCAGTTTATATCAAAATCGAAAAAAATAATCATAATTTTCATTGAAATAGCTTGGAATGCCTCTTAAATGTACCATTGGTTTTTTGAATGTTTGCTGGCATTTCAAGTACACAAATGACAATTTATGATTTGAAAGATTTATTCATTCAAAATTGGGAAAACTAAAAACTCTCTGCAAGCAGGCCAATGTCAAGTTTATTCAGTTCCCCAAAATACCCTATATGCAGGAAAAATGAATCGTGGGGTTTGTGGTGTGCTATCGAAAGGGATTTGCCAAAGTGTCCATATGAGTGCTCGGCACATTTTTTGCCACATAACTTGATCCGATGTAAGCAGTGCCTTTAAGGTAAAATATCTTTAAATGTATGCCAAAATCCTCGCCTTAACGTGTTTACATTTATTTATTTGCATACACTCAAGTTTTGTTGTTTAGACAGATATAAATTTCTTTCTTGAGTGAAAAACAAAATAAACAAATGTAATGAGAGCGAGAGAAATTTGTTTAAATGCTAGCAAACGTCGAAAGTCCTCAGCGGTTGTACCTTATAAATATTTTTATCAGCTTTTAAAACTTGTCAAATTTTAATCTGAAATTTTCGGTTAGGAGTTAGCGACTGGAAAAAAATATATACAAATATTTAAGAATGGCACACATGTATATATGGGCCCCTTCCCGAAATCGTGTCTATGCCACTTGCCGGCAGTTTTGAGGTAAACGGCAAAGAAATTTTCTAAATTACGCTGCGCCTCCTTGGTCATCGGGAACTAGTAGCAGGTAGTGGACCACTTCAGACTTGTCAGAGCAATGACTCCGACCTTGTGAAGGTGACCCACACGACTAAAGTCCCGCTACATTTCGTCTGACTTCGTGCGAAAAAAGGACATGGCATTCATCAACTTTAATAATTGAAATTTTTAACTTAAATTTTTTAACAGGTTTATGATTTCTCATACTGATTTTTTCCAAAAATTATATACGCAATGTTCATTACTTATTTTAAGCGTTTATTCCTCTCTTGGCAAAAATCGTTCTGCGAACTTGCAGTGTGCAGTTTTAATTCCTGCTGGCATCAAACTGACTGCCTTCGGCACAATTAAAGTTACTCGACTTTTTTAGTAAACTTCATTAGTAAACTACAGT